AAGCCCAATTGGGCTTATTATCCAAGGTGGTCTTATTTTGGGGAAAACTGGGTACTTATAATGAAACATTTGCAAGAAAACAAGCAAGCTCAACATCAAGGACCTCTTGTTTCAACCTTGAGCTACAAATATTCTCCTTTATTGGTATCTCTATTTGTGCATTTCTTTTAAGTAATGAAAGATCATTTTGTTTGTGTGTCCAATACTTGTTTTTCAGCATTTTTCTCATTGCTTATCACAATTATCTCCAAATTATGGTCAAACTTATCTAAATAGCTTGTTTTTCTTTTGCAACTTCCTTAATACTCCATTTATCTATCAGATAATTTTGAAGACCATTTTTTTTAAAAAGAAAAACCCACTTCAAAAATCACTGTTAGAGTGTTTTGCCTCATTCTTTGTTTAATTATATAAGTTGTAATGAGTTACCAGTTACACTGTAATAAGTTTTTTTTTCCTTGTCCAGTTATTGATTTTCTAATTTGATGTCCCTAATCTGATACCAGGGTAAATGCTGTCTCTAAATCTTTGATAAATACCTAAAGTAGCATGCTAGAATAATATTCTTGGCATATAGCTATATCATTGCTATTTACATTTTAAATTTCTTTTTACAGTTTGAGTAGTAAAACGTTTTCTCAACAATCATAGTTAAAACTCTCATGCTTTCCTGGATTGTCTTTTTACATTTGGAATTCATATATTTTTCAAATGTGTATCTTGGCTTACTTTTTATTGCTTCTTTGGAATATCAGTGTTCTCTCTTGTTTATTAGTCACACGGGCTATATTGTCCTTTTAATGCTTAAAATATTTCTGTAAATCAGAGTCCATATAGCCTTTTGTCTTAAAACTCAAAACATAGGGTGTTGTTGCCAGTTAATACTACAGATGTACAATAATATGAATAGGTTAAAGAGAGAGGTAAGGAAAGAAGATGATTTATTCTTGGGGAATGTCACACAGGGGTTAAAACATTTGTGACATCATCACAATTGTGATAAGTCATGCTAGGTTTTGTTTTGTTTTGTTTTGTTTTAATCTGCATTAATGTTTCTGGAAATGAAGATTTTGAATGAGGATGCTTTTACAGAGATGAAAGTTACAAATTCAATTGCATTGTGTTGCTTCCTCTTAAAGCTACTTTACCAGTACATCTCCTTCACTGATGCAGTATTCAGGAGGAGGGTTCATGCATGTATTCATTGAGTACTTATGTTTATATTCTGATCATGAATTTGCAATGATACACTGATGACCTTAACATTTCTTTACTGAATACTTCTCTCATCCGTTCTAAAGTAGCTGTTTGCATTTAATTCAAGCTTTGAAAAAGTCTTGAGAACATGGTGTAACGAAGGACAGAAATGTTTCTATTTCATTGTGAAGTACATTATGTGTATAAATAAATAACTTTGGAACTAATTTCCCGAACGTATGGTGGACTTTTCCTAATTGTGAACTCTAGACCAGTGATGGCGAACATTTTTTGGCTCACGTGCCAAAAGCAGGCGGAGCGGAGGGGGGCTGTGCACGGGCGAGCCACATCCATAATACTTTGCGCATAACTCCAGTGTGCATGCGCACATGACCCCAGTGCGCATGACCAGCGCTCCCCCCCCCTGCATTTTTAGTGTGCTTTTTTCGCCCTCCCCAGGCTCCAGAGGCACGAAAAACCAGCCCTATGGGCAAATTGGAAGTTCAGGAACAGACTTCCGGTTTGTTCGTAGGGCTGGTTTTAGCCCTCCGGGCCTTCAGGGAAGCCTCCTGAAAGCCCCTGAACGTTCCAGAGGGCTAAAACCGGCCCTATGAGCAAACCTCAAAAGAAGGCCGAAGTCAGCTGGCTTCACGTACCCTGATAAATGTCTCCGCATGCCACTTGTGGCACGCATGTCATAGGTTCGTATCACAGCTCTAGACTCTTATCTACCAGTGAAAACAGACTGGTGGTAATCACAAAGAACATTGTTATTCTTAATAAATAGGTGGTTTCTGATTTGTTACGCCTAAACATTTTATGAATGGGCAAGATCGTAATACAAAATGGTTTAATGCTAATCAGAATACTAAGAAATAATTTATTTGCTGTTATTCATATTATGGGATGGAGTGGGAGCTTAAATCAAAAGTTACCTGAAAATAAACCAAACTGTTCCTTTTGTAGAATTGTGCCTCCTTCATGACCAACAAGGTGGTTTTGAAAGGGGGGCTATAGAAGGGCCATCTTATCATTCTTCGGCCTTCAAAGAGGCTTGCTGCCCTCATCTTTTTGATGTTGTGGATAATGAGAAATTGTCTGGACCTGACAGCCCTATTCCAAGTAATACTTCACTTAACATTCTAAGCAAAGGTAGGTCTAGAAAATTGTTCACATTTCCTGTTCATTATATTAACTTAAACCAAAATTAATTTCAGCTCAATGTGTGGCTTCAAGGATCCCAGAAACATGGTTCTAAAATTGAATCCATGTGTGTAAAGACAATGCATGTCTTTATTATTATTGCATCATAAATAGTTGGGGTTAATTCCTCCCAAAAGGTACTATATCACCAGTTGTAAACTGTAAAGAGGTACAATATTTACAAGTGATGGAATTTTTTTATTATTTAAACAACATTCTGAGTTTCCTTTCCTATCTTCCCATGCTGTCTTTATTATCCCTCTTACTATGCATGTACATCTCTTTAAGTGTTTGAACTGATAGGTAGTAAAAATACCAATAATCTAACTTTCAGTTGCTGCTTTCCATACTTACTCCAGGCTGTCCCAGGCTGATCAGTAGCATGTTTTATCCTCATTTTAAAATTTATTAACTTTAAAACAAATCACATGTGGAATTAACTATAGATATAGATCATAGAAAACTAATGCAATGCTAATATATTTATAATATATATTTTACTTATGAATGAACCTTGTTCTCTGCCACCAGAACCAAAGATAGCTAATTTTATATGTAACAGTAATGGGAGGGAAGAATTTGGTTTGTGTTTGTGGGTTTGTGTTTGGTTTGTGTTTGTGGGTTAGTATTCAGATTTATCTAAGGAACCTATACATGGAACATTTTGAAACCAACGCCTTAGATAAATCTGAACACAAACCCAAACTCTGGCTTAGATATATAGATGACACTTTCGTAATTTGGCCATATCCCTCGATGTATTCAATGTCATATCCCTCTTCACCCAAGTGCCTATTAAAGAAGCCTTGACAGCTATCCAAAACAAATACAAGCCCCCTCCCCAAGCACATCCTAAATCTGACCAACCATTGCCTAACCAACACATACTTCATCCACAATGGACAAAGATTCAAACAGATAGAAGGAGCACCTATGGGATCACCCCTTTCACCCGTCATCGTAAACCTATACATGGAATACTTTGAAACCAATGCCTTAGATAAATCTGAACACAAACCCAAACTNCTATATCTATATCTATATCTATATCTATCTATCTATCTATCTATCTATCTATCTATCTATCTATCTATCTATCTATCTATCTATCTATATATCTATCTATCTATCTATATATTCTCATTTATGTATGTTTAATTTTATCTAACAGGTAACTCTTGGTGCCATAACTCTCTCCACACACTTGTTGTTGTGTCTCCCCCCCTCCACCCCACCACCTATTTTATCCTTGCAGCCATCCTTTAAGGATTTGGGCTGAGAGATCTTAAATGTATCAACTCTGGGCATTTTTTGTTTCATTTTTTGGTTTTAACTCACTTAAAAGTAATTGAAAAATCATTTTTAAATTCTACAAAATGACTTCTTGTCATCCTTTCATGTTTAAATTAATGCATTTTGGAATTAATTTGCACGAATTAACCAACAATTAAATCTCTCTCTAGGTATCAGTGAAGGAAAATGGAAATATGATCAAGAACTCTAATGTGGTATTAGAAATCCCTGCTCCAACAGCAATTGCTTATGGCGTAATAGAATTGTATATAAAACGTGACGGTCAATTTGGTAAGTAATATGGACACCTTCCTTTTCCTCAGGGCAGCATAAAAGTGCAATCTCATCCTGATGAGCATGCTTTTTATTAGACTTAGATCATCAGCAGAGGTTCTATTGTCCTAATATTTCATTTTAAATTCAGTTTTATGCATACCATAGATCAGTACGTAATTGGTGATCATTTAAAGGGAAGGCTTACGGATATTTTGAATCAGTATTACAGTCAGAAACTGAGTATAATACATGAGAAGATGTAGGTGAGGTTAAACCAAGGCATTCAAGCATTTTATTTGGTTGCAAATTAAAGGAAGGCCTACATATGTGATCAACTTCCCCTAACAATGGAACAATGGAATGCTTTTGTTTGTCTGTCTGTCTATTTATTTATCGTATAGCATATAATGTCAGGGAAATCTACACATGCTAAACATACAAGGCATGTCCTGAAAATCTAGATTGCTAGTTTACTGCATCCTTTTTTAGTATATACTCTTATCTCAGCACATAAAAAGTTTAAAATATGTATATCACATGATATTACTGAGAACAGGCAATGTTGTTTAAAAAAATTAAGTGAAGGCATACTGCCCAAAACTATGCCCACACCATATTTAAAGGTAAGGATGGTTGCACATTATTTTTCCCTTCTTTACAGTGCTGCTATTTCTTTTCTAATTTCTGTTTATTGGATTTTAATATTGGGGCATCTTATCTTTGAAACCTTATATATCAACATCTCTGCTTTGCAGGACTAATCCTAATTTAGGCAGAGTAAGACAGGCATTTCAGATTAGGGAGAAGTTTGTGAATAATATCTCTGGATCATCAGCATTTGTTCACAAAACCTTTGGCCATTCTTTTGCTTGTATAATAAATATCTGTGATTCTTGTAGCCTGTTTTACATCTTCTAAAGTCAGGGATGGGAGTCTACCAGTTCAGACCAGTTCGGGGGTGCGATCACCGAACCAGTTGTTAAACTGGTAGGATCCCACCACTGCCTAAACTAGTCTGGAACTTCCATGTAGAATCAAGGACACTATTATTTCCAATGGAATGAGGCTACTTTTTATTTTTGGGGACATACAGCAAATATCTTGAAAATGTTTGCTATGTTTCCACTGCATGAAATGATCACTGTGTTCTACTCTGTAGTGGAAGGATTTTCTCATCTATGAAGATTCTAAACATTCTTACCCATTTCTCCAGTGAACATCCAAATAATTGTGCCTAAAATAGCAGGCTTACAATGTGCTAGAGTTCTGTTGAGATTCGGTGAAGTTAGGAGGCAGCTTTTTTTCCCCAAATAATTTTTATACAAGTGGAATAAAAGCTAACACAAACTATAAAAATATAAGAATAAAAAAGAAAAAAGTATAAAAAAATAGGTTCTTCTTTCATTACAATAACTTTCGCAATGTATTACATCTATACAATACAATACAATAGCAGAGTTGGAAGGGACCAACCCCCGGCCTAGGCAGGAAACCCTATCCCGTTTCAGGCAAATGGCTATCCAACATCTTCTTAAAGACTTGCAGTGTTGGGGCATTCATAACTTCTGAAGTCAAACTGTTCCACTGATTAGTTGTTCTAACTGTCAGGAAATTTCTCCTCAATTCTAAGTTGCTTCTCTCCTTGATTAGTTTCCACCCATTGCTTCTTGTTCTATCCTCACATGCCTTGGAGAATAGTTTGACTCCGTCTTCTTTGTGGCAACCCCTGAGATATTGGAACACTGCTATCATGTCTCCCCTAATCCTTCTTTCTCTTAAACTAGACTAAGGGGTTTCCACAAAGAGGAGGGGGGGTCCCCCT